CATTTTCCTTTCTTTTCTTCGTCTGCTGGATAACCGAACTACTCGTTAATGAAGCGGACGTAAAACCTATCAATCAATCAATCAATCAATTTGTATTTGGTCTACAGGTCACGTGTTTTAGGAGGCTTACATACGGACGATTATCTATTACCATATTGTGCAAATCGCAAATTACACTTTTAAAACAACTTCTCAACGTCCAAAATTAACTTATTTGAAGTTAATATTTTGGAAACATACATATCTATATATATTTATTATAAATCTTCTTTGTGGATTTCGCTTTTATTTTTGAAGCGTAAAGATTACAATCGCATAATATCACATAAGCATTGTTTGACAGTGAAACCATTACAACTATCAACACATTTTTAGGCGGTATAATGTACTTTTATTGACAAAACATGAAATATAAAGTAGGTTGAAGGATCCCTGTACCACTGCCAAAACGTAACTAAGTGTTGGAAACTGTTTTTTTCAGGCATGACAATATTTTTGATAAATTATTTTGGAAACGACTGAACTTACGGGACTTTTATGAATAATAATAAATATGATATATAACATATAATGAAAAATAGTGTTTTGAGTGTAAACATTCAGTGGGGCTAGACCGCGATTCGAACCCCGGACTTGTTACATGCACCTAATCATCGGAAGTGTTCTGCCCAAACTTGTCTTCAGTTACATCTGAACGAAAGTTAAGGGGAAGTAACTGTAAATAGAAAAATAACAAAGTGCAGCGGAAAAGCGATCCTTACCATGCGTTGAGGGGAATTTGATATGAAAGGTTCTGGCACCAAATGATTGGATTTTGTAACTGGACAGGTGGTAATGTTCCCACTAGACATCAGTTTAGGTCGACTGTGGTGAGTACATTTATACATGGCTTTTATTTAATGAAACTGTAGGTCTCATAAGTAATTACAACAGCATGGTCCAAAATGGGCATGGATCGGCTACAAGCTAACAAAAGGGATATGTGATAACATCAGCATATTTCATAAGTGATAACTGTTTTTTTGTGTTTATGTATTTGATGTTGTAGCATTGTTTTATAGTGACACATTTCCTTGTTATATGATGTGATATATAGTTAACCATGTTTCTGTCTTGAAAAATGGGTCGAATTGCCTCGAAAATTTGACAACGATTTTTTCGCTAATCAGAACCTACCAAAATATGGTAACAAAAACAAATACATATAAAGCACTGTATTCCAATGAATATGGTGGTCCATTACAAATACTCTGTATGATTTAACTAAACACTCATTCCTGGACAGAATGACAACTGAACATTTGCATGAAAACGATCGCCATGACAACGAGAAGAATCGTTGTTAAGCAACTTCCGTGTGATGAAACTCCGCTAGTTATAGATTCCAAAATGGCACCCACATCGTCACTCTGAATAATGTTGATACCTGAAAAATAGAGAGAAAAATAAATAAAACACAGAGGTTAGGATGCCTGAACAAACATACGGTGATTGAAATGAATTCCTCCTCCATAGCCAGTTCAAAATATCACAATTTGTTTGTACCTTTTCAATATTAGAGATTTCCTTTGTTCATATTTTCCCTAGTTTCCAACATTTTGTGCTCCAATTACGGGTTTGATAACACTTCGGTATTATCTTTGTATTTTTTAAAATATTTTATTTAAGAGTTCACATAACATTCAGATACTGATTAGTACATGACCATAAGTCACACTCCAGTGCTTTTGTGTTGCATCTTATAAGATGAAATATTTAAGAAATTAGAGTCGTAAGTTAATGATTTACGTAACAAAAAGGGCAATTACTCTATCTAAAATCATCACATCATCAGATATGCATGTGGAAGTACGTTTGAGATCGGTTAACACACTAAGGGAATACCCGTTCGGACAACATTATGATTAAGGACGGACGGGTGGACGGACGAGTCCAGTTTACCAGCATCAAAAGAAGATTGAATGAGAAATCCTGTTATACATTGTACCTACCTTTTGATTTCATGTCCGCCACGGCTGCCACAGAGGTAGCATTGGCGACGCCTCGGCTGGCGTCCTGGACTAGGTAGGTCGTGTAACCTGACAGAAAAATTACATAGAAAGTTCACAACAGACATGACTAGGTAGGTCCTGAGGCGGACAGAACGTACATAATTATCACAATTAATATTACTACACTGTACCTTTACATACACGTATGTAACCTGACAGAGGATTAACATACAAAATGGTCGGACGTGACAAAGGTATGAGGTCACCTGTCCGTACACTTGGGTTTTCTGCGGGTACTCCAGTTGCACTTCCGGTCATTCACGCCAAGGGTGATGTGTACTTCTAGAAGGAAAATTCGGCGGCCTGAACGTTCTTCTTTTGAAGTGAAAATGCTGGTAAACTGCATAAATGACAAAGTTCATCCAGGGTCAAAGACTTTCCAAATGTTGAACACTTCATTTTGAAGATATTAAGTAAACAATACAAAACCATGCATACAGTGTTATATGAAACTGTTATAATAAATGCACATGTAAAACATTTATTTATGTGTCAACAATTTCGAAACAGGTATTATCAACTGATATTAATTACTCTTGTTGGCCCGGATGTTAGGACAAACAGGTCTCAATGTGGAAGGGAAATGGAGTACACAGAAACAACCACACTTGGTTGGGCAGGTGACCCAATATTTTGTTCACGTCCGACAGGGGAGTCGAACCCCGGCCGTCTTGGTGAAAGACGAGTGCGCTATCCATTGCGCCACCCGACAACCACGTAATTGTAAAAATTAGTATACACGACACGAAACTCGATATCTGCAAAGTGCAATAAGCTCATGGTAATTTGAATTTACATCACGAATACTCAAGGATAGTTTCTAACCAAACACGACATGCAAAAGTAACTTCAACGTCAAAAAGGACGAGTTGTGTTACCTATCAAATAACGGCTCAAGGTCATTGTACTGCTAAAACGTGAAGATCGTCAAAAGATTAAAAGAAAATAAGGTAGGGAGAAAAAGAGACTATATAAAATCACTAAGATTATATCAGCATTTTAAGAAATTTAATACATCGTACATTGTAAACATGTCTGGAGTTCAGCACTATACACGTAGAGAGGCTGTGACCGAGCGATATATGTCGGGTCGGTTAATATGTAGGACGCCTATATTATGCAACTGGAAGTTTTTAGACGTCAACAAATATCAATGAATGTAATGTAAACATATAATGAGATATATCGACTATACCGCACAATGAACGGAGAATAAAGAAAAGAATTAAATACGCTTGTTAGTCCTTCTTGCTAACCAAGTATTTGTCTGATGGCCTAACTCTCTAAGATTTAAACAATTAAATACAAAGTTCTTGGGAATTAAATGAAGGCTTTGTACACATTGATAGGTATGGGGACTATTAATG